GCAGGGCATGGATGGCAGGAGGCATGGATGGCAGGGCATGGAGGGCAGGTCAGGGCATGGATGGCAGGGCATGGATGGCAGGGCATGGATGGCAGGGCATGGATGGCAGGGCATGGATGGCAGGGCATGGATGGCAGGGCATGGATGGCAGGGCATGGATGGCAGGGCATGGAGGGCAGGGGCATGGATGGCATGGCGGGCATGGATGGCAGGGCATGGATGGCAGGGCATGGATGGCAGGGCATGGATGGCAGGGCATGGATGGCAGGGCATGGATGGCAGGGCATGGATGGCAGGGCATGGATGGCAGGGCATGGATGGCAGGGCATGGATGGCAGGGCATGGATGGCAGGGCATGGATGGCAGGGCATGGAGGGCAGGTCAGGGCATGGATGGCAGGGCATGGATGGCAGGGCATGGATGGCAGGGCATGGAGGGCAGGTCAGGGCATGGATGGCAGGGCATGGATGGCAGGGCATGGATGGCAGGGCATGGATGGCAGGGCATGGATGGCAGGGCATGGATGGCAGGGCATGGATGGCAGGGCATGGATGGCAGGGCATGGATGGCAGGGCATGGATGGCAGGGCATGGATGGCAGGGCATGGATGGCAGGGCATGGATGGCAGGGCATGGATGGCAGGGCATGGATGGCAGGGCATGGATGGCAGGGCATGGATGGCAGGGCATGGATGGCAGGGCATGGATGGCAGGGCATGGATGGCAGGGCATGGATGGCAGGGCATGGATGGCAGGGCATGGATGGCAGGGCATGGATGGCAGGGCATGGATGGCAGGGCATGGATGGCAGGGCATGGATGGCAGGGCATGGATGGCAGGGCATGGATGGCAGGGCATGGATGGCAGGGCATGGATGGCAGGGCATGGATGGCAGGGCATGGATGGCAGGGCATGGATGGCAGGGCATGGATGGCAGGGCATGGATGGCAGGGCATGGATGGCAGGGCATGGATGGCAGGGCATGGATGGCAGGGCATGGATGGCAGGGCATGGATGGCAGGGCATGGATGGCAGGGCATGGATGGCAGGGCATGGATGGCAGGGCATGGATGGCAGGGCATGGATGGCAGGGCATGGATGGCAGGGCATGGATGGCAGGGCATGGATGGCAGGGCATGGATGGCAGGGCATGGATGGCAGGGCATGGATGGCAGGGCATGGATGGCAGGGCATGGATGGCAGGGCATGGATGGCAGGGCATGGATGGCAGGGCATGGATGGCAGGGCATGGATGGCAGGGCATGGATGGCAGGGCATGGATGGCAGGGCATGGATGGCAGGGCATGGATGGCAGGGCATGGATGGCAGGGCATGGATGGCAGGGCATGGATGGCAGGGCATGGATGGCAGGGCATGGATGGCAGGGCATGGATGGCAGGGCATGGATGGCAGGGCATGGATGGCAGGGCATGGATGGCAGGGCATGGATGGCAGGGCATGGATGGCAGGGCATGGATGGCAGGGCATGGATGGCAGGGCATGGATGGCAGGGCATGGATGGCAGGGATGGCAGGGCATGGATGGCAGGGCATGGATGGCAGGGCATGGATGGCAGGGCATGGATGGCAGGGCATGGATGGCAGGGCATGGATGGCAGGGCATGGATGGCAGGGCATGGATGGCAGGGCATGGATGGCAGGGCATGGATGGCAGGGCATGGATGGCAGGGCATGGATGGCAGGGCATGGATGGCAGGGCATGGATGGCAGGGCATGGATGGCAGGGCATGGATGGCAGGGCATGGATGGCAGGGCATGGATGGCAGGGCATGGATGGCAGGGATGGATGGCAGGCATGGATGGCAGGGCATGGATGGCAGGGCATGGATGCAGGGCATGGATGGCAGGGCATGGATGGCAGGGCATGGATGGCAGGGCATGGATGGCAGGGCATGGATGGCAGGGCATGGATGGCAGGGCATGGATGGCAGGGCATGGATGGCAGGGCATGGATGGCAGGGCATGGATGGCAGGGCATGGATGGCAGGGCATGGATGGCAGGGCATGGATGGCAGGGCATGGATGGCAGGGCATGGATGGCAGGGCATGGATGGCAGGGCATGGATGGCAGGGCATGGATGGCAGGGCATGGATGGCAGGGCATGGATGGCAGGGCCATGGATGGCAGGGCATGGATGGCAGGGCATGGATGGCAGGGCATGGATGGCAGGGCATGGATGGCAGGGCATGGATGGCAGGGCATGGATGGCAGGGCATGGATGGCAGGGCATGGATGGCAGGGCATGGATGCAGGGCATGGATGGCAGGGCATGGATGGCAGGGCATGGATGGCAGGGCATGGATGGCAGGGCATGGATGGCAGGGGCATGGATGGCAGGGCATGGATGGCAGGGCATGGATGGCAGGGCATGGATGGCAGGGCATGGATGGCAGGGCATGGATGGCAGGGCATGGATGGCAGGGCATGGATGGCAGGGCATGGATGGCAGGGCATGGATGGCAGGGCATGGATGGCAGGGCATGGATGGCAGGGCATGGATGGCAGGGCATGGATGGCAGGGGCATGGATGGCAGGGCATGGATGGCAGGGCATGGATGGCAGGGCATGGATGGCAGGGCAATGGATGGCAGGGCATGGATGGCAGGGCATGGATGGCAGGGCATGGATGGCAGGGCATGGATGGCAGGGCATGGATGGCAGGGCATGGATGCAGGGCATGGATGGCAGGGCATGGATGGCAGGGCATGGATGGCAGGGCATGGATGGCAGGGCATGGATGGCAGGGCATGGATGGCAGGGCATGGATGGCAGGCATGGATGGCAGGGCATGGATGGCAGGGCATGGATGGCAGGGCATGGATGGCAGGGCATGGATGGCAGGGCATGGATGGCAGGGCATGGATGGCAGGGCATGGATGGCAGGGCATGGATGGCAGGGCATGGATGGCAGGGCATGGATGGCAGGGCATGGATGGCAGGGCATGGATGGCAGGGCATGGATGGCAGGGCATGGATGGCAGGGCATGGATGGCAGGGCATGGATGGCAGGGCATGGATGGCAGGGCATGGATGGCAGGGCATGGATGGCAGGGCATGGATGGCAGGGCATGGATGGCAGGGCATGGATGGCAGGGCATGGATGGCAGGGCATGGATGGCAGGGCATGGATGGCAGGGCATGGATGGCAGGGCATGGATGGCAGGGCATGGATGGCAGGGCATGGATGGCAGGGCATGGATGGCAGGGCATGGATGGCAGGGCATGGATGGCAGGGCATGGATGGCAGGGCATGGATGGCAGGGCATGGATGGCAGGGCATGGATGGCAGGGCATGGATGGCAGGGCATGGATGGCAGGGCATGGATGGCAGGGCATGGATGGCAGGGCATGGATGGCAGGGCATGGATGGCAGGGCATGGATGGCAGGGCATGGATGGCAGGGCATGGATGGCAGGGCATGGATGGCCAAGGGCATGGATGGCAGGGCATGGATGGCAGGGCATGGATGGCAGGGCATGGATGCAGGGCATGGATGGCAGGGGCATGGATGGCAGGGCATGGATGGCAGGGCATGGATGGCAGGGCATGGATGGCAGGCATGGATGGCAGGGCAATGGATGGCAGGGCATGGATGGCAGGGCATGGATGGCAGGGCATGGATGGCAGGGCATGGATGGCAGGGCATGGATGGCAGGGCATGGATGGCAGGGCATGGATGGCAGGGCATGGATGGCAGGGCATGGATGGCAGGGCATGGATGGCAGGGCATGGATGGCAGGGCATGGATGGCAGGGCATGGATGGCAGGGGCATGGATGGCAGGGCATGGATGGCAGGGCATGGATGGCAGTGCATGGATGGCAGGGCCATGGATGGCAGGGCATGGATGGCAGGGCATGGAAGGGCAGGGTGCTATGGATGGCAGGGCAATGGATGGCAGGGCATGGATGGCAGGGGCATTTGCAGGGCATGGATGGCAGGGCATGGATGGCAGGGCATGGATGGCAGGCATGGATGGCAGGGGCATGGATGGCAGGGCATGGATGGCAGGGCATGGATGGCAGGGCATGGATGGCAGGGGCATGGATGGCAGGGCATGGATGGCAGGGCATGGATTGGCAGGGCATGGATGGCAGGGCATGGATGGCAGGGCATGGATGGCAGGGCATGGATGGGCAGGGCATGGATGGCAGGGCATGGATGGCAGGGCATGGATGGCAGGGCATGGATGGGCAGGGCATGGATGGCAGGCATGGATGGCAGGGCATGGATGGCAGGGCATGGATGGCAGGGCATGTGATGGCAGGGCATGGATGGCAGGGCATGGATGGCAGGGCATGGATGGCAGGGCATGGATGGTCAGGGCATGGATGGCAGGGCATGGATGGCAAGGGCATGGATGGCAGGGCCAGGCATGGATGGCAGGGCCATGGATGGCAGGGCATGGATGGCGGGCATGGATGGCAGGGCATGGATGGCAGGGCATGGATGCAGGGCCATAATGGCCGGGCATGGATGGCAGGGCATGGATGGCAGGGCATGGATGGCAGGGCATGGATGGCAGGCATGGATGGCAGGGCATGGATGGCAGGGCATGGATGGCAGGGCATGGATGGCAGGGCATGGATGGCAGGGCATGGATGGCAGGGCATGGATGGCAGGGCATGGATGGCAGGGCATGGATGGCAGGGCATGGATGGCAGGGCATGGATGGCAGGGCATGGATGGCAGGGCATGGATGGCAGGGCATGGATGGCAGGGCATGGATGGCAGGGCATGGATGGCAGGGCATGGGAGGAAAGCAGTCATGATTGCACTTTGTGAAACCTAGTTGTCGGACCAGCTCCTGCAGCGGACTCATATTGAGCGCCCCTGTGCACTCTTCAAACCAATCACCCACCCACAGCCGACCTGCTCTCGTCTGCAGCAGTCACCCACCTGAACGCTGTGTTTCTCCCTAGTTACTTCTTGAGACTTCCTAAAAAGGTAAAATCAACCCCAAAAAAAAGGCACTTTTTTCATGAACCAAGTGGCCCGTTATGGCATCTATCCCCCCTCCCCCACCTCATCCCAGGCGGTAGCCTTCCCCTTTCCCCTCATTCCTGAATTATTCTTTCTCCCCTCCTCTCCCTTCCCATTATGGATCCTTGTCCTCTCTCCCTCCCTCCCACCCCCTCCAGGGCATTCTGAAGTTCACTCGCCAGGCCATGAGCGTCACGAATGAGCAGGCCTTTCATCATTCGTGTACCACCTTTTGTTTTCTCATTCGTGTACCACCTTTTCCCTTCCACCCACCCCCTCCCACCCCCTCCCACCCCACCCCTCCTCCAGGGCGTCCTGAAGCTCACTCGCCAGGCCATGAGCGTCAGCAAGGCCATCAACACTCGGAGAAGAGACTAAGGACTCCGCCCGCGCGCGGTAAGGCTTGTCGTGTCTTGCAACTCCTGTGATGGCACCGCCGTTCCTTTTGAGAAGAGCATTGGATCAGCAGTGTACAGCCCGTTGTGCCTTTTGAACCGCCTAACTGATTCTCGTTGAGGCTTCGTCAGAAAATGATAACTGCAACAGTTCCAGTTGGCAGCTATGACATTCTTGTGTTCAATGTTCCCGTAGCTACGACACACAAACAGACTTTGAGGCGCCTCAAGATTCATAGTGGGAGTAGCAGCGAACTTATGAGAAAACGCTTAGCAAAAGGATCAAGACTTGTGATACTTGTGTTCAATGTTCCCGTAGCTACGACACACTTTTGAGGCGCCTCAAAAGTTGCTCACGTAGGTACGACACACAAACAGTGACCTGATAAAACCACACAAACAGTGACCTGATAAAACCACACAAACAGTGACCTGATAAAACCACACAAACAGTGACCTGATAAAACCACACAAACAGTGACCTGATAAAACCACACAAACAGTGACCTGATAAAACCACACAAACAGTGACCTGATAAAACCACACAAACAGTGACCTGATAAAACCACACAAACAGTGACCTGATAAAACCACACAAACAGTGACCTGATAAAACCACACAAACAGTGACCTGACAAAACCACACAAACAGTGACCTGATAAAACCACACAAACAGTGACCTGATAAAACCACACAAAGCCCCCACCCCAGTTACGGTATACTCTGCTGCTACTCTCAAGCAGCACTCTCACGTTGTGGGGGGGGCGGTCTGCCTGGGCTGTGCATGACTCTGTATGTTCTGTGTGTTTTGTGTGTTTTGTGTGTTCTGTGTGTTTTGTGTGTTCTGTGTGTTCTGTGTGTTTTGTGTGTTGTGTGTTTTATTTGTTCTATGTGTTTTGTGTGTTCTGTGTGTTTTGTGTGTTCTGTGTGTTCTGTGTGTTTTGTGTGTTCTGTGTGTTTTATGTGTTCTATGTGTTTTGTGTGTTCTGTGTGTTTTGTGTGTTTTGTGTGTTCTGTGTGTTCTGTGTGTTTTGTGTGTTCTGTGTGTTTTATGTGTTCTATGTGTTCTGTGTGTTCTGTGTGTTCTGTGTGTTTTGTGTGTTCTGTGTGTTCTGTGTGTTCTGTGTGTTTTGTGTGTTCTGTGTGTTCTGTGTGTTCTGTGTGTTTTGTGTGTTGTGCGTGTTCAACACCCCCCATGCTGTCATCACTGCTTCCCCAATGCTTCAAGTTTTTCCTCGTGAGAAAAATGAGGGTTTCTGTTCCTAAGCAAGGGTAATTCAGCGGTCGGTAAGTGACTGCTCAACCACTCCCCTCCATCTTCCTCCCTCATCCGCTCCCTCTTCCTTCCTCGTCCCTTCCTTTTTCCTCCCTCGCCCCCCCACTCTTCCTCCCTGCATCAGGTGCGAGCAGAGTTGGTGAGTCAGCTGTCATTAATCGCCTTCTAACCCACTCCCTTCACTCGCTCCTCCCCTTCCCCCCCCTCATCCTCTCTTCCCACCTGCTCCCACCACCAGGTGCGGGTGGCGGTGGTGGGATCTCCCAACGTGGACAATTCAGGCGTCACTAAGTGACCGCTCAGCCACTCCTCTCCTGCTCCCCCCTCGTCCCCTTCATCTTCCTCCCTTGCAACAGGTGCGTGCAGCGGTGGTGGGATTCCCCAACGTGGGCAAGTCAGCCGGGATCAACCGTCAGCCCAACCACTCCCGTTCCTATGTCCCAACTCCTGGGCCCCCACCTCCTCTCTCCCCACCTGCTGCTCCCTCCCTGCAACAGGTGCGGGCGGCGGTGGTGGGATTCCCCAACGTGGGCAAGTCAGCAGTAATCAATCGTTTGCTCAACCGTCGGGTCGTCGCCAGTGCTCCCAGGCCAGGGGTCACACGGGAGGTCAAGTGAGTCCCTGCACTGGTTTCCCGTGTTCACAATTGTTCAAATGTCTCCTCCGTAGGTAAGAGCACTTCCCGAATCGTTTTTAGGCCCGGGCTCGCCAGAAAGGTTATCTTGGTTTAGTGAGGTCATGAGGCCCGGGCTGGGTTGAGAAAGGCAGTGGATTTCATCTTCATGGTGAGAAATGAAGCAAGGCAGCACTCCAATGGTGTAATGGGCAGGCGACTCAATGGGCTACGATTGGGGAAGGGTATAATGCTGCTGACCTCAACCTTCCAACAACTCTTGATCGAACTGAACTGTGACGTCTGATTGCTGCTGTTCCTTGAGTGAGTGTGTACGGTATAACGAATTCAACTGATCGGCCTGTCTCTCTAACCATCTGCCACTCTCTTTCTTGCTCTTAACGCATGGGCGCTTGCACCTGCTAGACACACACGGGGATGCTGCCAGACAACAAGGCACCCCTTCATGCAATCATTCCCGCATGCCTCCTCTGCCTCCCCTTGCCTGCACCTACCCTCCTAACCATCTCTCATGCGCCTGCCAACAGGTGGGTGCGGCTGGGAGTGGGCTAGACGCACCGGGAGTGCTACCGGCTGGGAGGATCGTTCATGCATTCCTTCCCCCTGTCCTCCCTTGCCCCCTTGGCCCCCTTGCCCCCTTGCCCGCCTTGCCCCCTTGCCCCCTTGCCCCCTTGCCCCCTTGCCCCCTTGCCCCCTTGCCCCCTTGCCCCCTTGCCCCCTTGCCCCTTGCCCCTTGCCCCCTTGCCCCTTGCCCCCTTGCCCCCTTGCCCCCTTGCCCCCTTGCCCCCTTGCCCCCTTGCCCCCTTGCCCCTTGCCCCCTTGCCCCCTTGCCCCCTTGCCCCCTTGCCCCCTTGCCCCCTTGCCCCCTTGCCCCCTTGCCCCCTTGCCCCCTTGCCCCCTTGCCCCCTTGCCCCCTTGCCCCCTTGCCCCCTTGCCCCCTTGCCCCCTTGCCCCCTTGCCCCCTTGCCCCCTTGCCCCCTTGCCCCCTTGCCCCCTTGCCCCCTTGCCCCCTTGCCCCTTGCCCCCTTGCCCCCTTGCCCCCTTGCCCCCTTGCCCCCTTGCCCCCTTGCCCCCTTGCCCCCTTGCCCCCTTGCCCCCTTGCCCCCTTGCCCCCTTGCCCCCTTGCCCCCCTTGCCCCCTTGCCCCCTTGCCCCCTTGCCCCCTTGCCCCCTTGCCCCCTTGCCCCCTTGCCCCCTTGCCCCCTTGCCCCCTTGCCCCCTTGCCCCCTTGCCCCTTGCCCCCTTGCCCCCTTGCCCCCTTGCCCCCTTGCCCCCTTGCCCCCTTGCCCCCTTGCCCCCTTGCCCCCTTGCCCCCTTGCCCCCTTGCCCCTTGCCCCCTTGCCCCCTTGCCCCCTTGCCCCCTTGCCCCTTGCCCCCTTGCCCCTTGCCCCCTTGCCCCCTTGCCCCCTTGCCCCCTTGCCCCCTTGCCCCTTGCCCCCTTGCCCCCTTGCCCCCTTGCCCCCTTGCCCCCTTGCCCCCTTGCCCCTTGCCCCCTTGCCCCCTTGCCCCCTTGCCCCCTTGCCCCCTTGCCCCCTTGCCCCCTTGCCCCCTTGCCCCCTTGCCCCCTTGCCCCCTTGCCCCCTTGCCCCCTTGCCCCCTTGCCCCCTTGCCCCCTTGCCCCCTTGCCCCCTTGCCCCCTTGCCCCCTTGCCCCCTTGCCCCCTTGCCCCCTTGCCCCCTTGCCCCCTTGCCCCCTTGCCCCCTTGCCCCCTTACCCCCTCTTGCCTGCACGTGCCCTTTAATCCTCTCATCTGCCTTGAATAGGTGGGTGCGGCTGGGAGAGGGCCTGGACCTGTTAGACGCGCCTGGCGTGCTGCCAGCGAGAATAGCGGACCAGGCAGCAGCGGCACGGCTGGCCATGTGTAACGACATTGGTGAAGCTGCTTATGCTGTTGCTGGTGTGGCCGCCATTCTCGTGGAGCTGCTGAAGAGACTCCCTACTGCTGGTGAGACTCCACTCCCCACTACCAGTTAGGATAGCGGACCAGGCAGCAGCGGCACGGCTGGCCATGTGCAACGACATCAGTGAAGTGGCCTATGCTGTCGCTGGCGTGGCTGCTATTCTCGTGGAGCTGCTGAAACGGCTGCCCACTGCTGGTGAGTTGTTGCAGACCGTTACAATGCCCACGGCTGGTGAGACTGCCACGGCTGGTGAGACTGCCACGGCTGGTGAGACTGCCACGGCTGGTGAGACTGCCACTACTGGTCAGACTGCCACTGCTGGCGAGCGTTTCTTTTAACAGGCTCCATGTCCTCTCCTGCTTCACTTATTCCATCCCCATCTAACCTACCTCGCTTCACGTGATCTGGTTCCCTGATGCCCATTCGGCTCATTGCTTGCCTGCTCTGCGCTGCAGCCCCCCCTGTGCTTTCAAGGCGCCTCAAAAGTCGAGCCCGCTTTGTGCCCATCTGTCTCCTTGCTTGTGTGCTTTTCAGGCCCCCATGTGCTGTCCAACCGGTACAAGGTCAAAGCAGACAGTTTATCTGGCGAAGAGTAAGCTCCTTGCATTGCATGGGATCCACCACACACACACCAGGCACACAGCGAGCACAGTCACTTAGTGTCCCGAGCACTTTCTTTTGATGAGCTTCTTTTGAGGCGCCTCAAAACCACACACACACCAGGCAAACAGCGATCACAGTTCACTTAGGTATCCGGAGCACTTACTTGTGATGAGCGCTGTGTTTGCTGTGAGGATAGTTCACGAACGAAGCTGTAAGTGCCCCCAAAAGTAACTGGAGAGTGCGCGCACAACAGAGTGCTGAGCACAAATGTTCTGCCTCCTCTCTCCGCTGGATACTGTCAACAATGAGCACTAGATAGTAACACTTTAAATAAACTCTATGTAGTATGTAGTAGTAGGTCGGCTGGCACGGGGGATGCCATGTGCCTCATGTGCCTCGAGAGCAGCTTTTCTATTCTGAAGCACTGGCACACACGACCCTTCGACTCATTCCTACTCCCACCTCTTCTCTCCGCTCCTCAATGCAGGTTCCTGGAGGCACTGGCAGACCGGCTGTGCTTGGGGGTGTGAACCAGGAGGCAGGCAGCCCACATGCTGCTCTGCTCTGGAGCCCTTCACATCCTTCATGCTCTCACTCTCTTCCTTTCCCTCCTCTCGCTGCAGGTTCCTAGAGGCACTGGCAGACCGGCTGTGCATGGGGGATGTGAACCAGGCAGCGCACAGAGTGCTCAAGGACTTCAGAAGAGGGGCGTTTGGCTGGATCGCTCTGGAGAGGCCCCCTGTGTGACTGTAAAGGAATATTCATTCGTGACTGGAAGGGAGGATGCCACCCACTGTATAGGTTCTGCTGGCAGTTGCTGCTTGTTTACTCGAGCAAAAGATGCGGTGGGATGCAAAAATCAGAGTCATCGCTAAGTACGCATTCTGTCTGTACGAGTTTAACAGATTTTATCTAGGGAGTACTGGAACTGTCTTCGCCTGAATAGTGAAGCTGTTAGTTGAGCACACATGAGCCCAGATGATATTGGCCCACTGTTCGGGGATCCGAGTAAATACAGTACTACGATGGAAGAACAAGAAGCAAACATTACACTCTTTGCATGCTAAACAGAAGCAGAAGCCGTGGTCATGAGGGAGTAAAGAAGGGCAGATTCAGTGTAAGCAGTATGCAGGGCGACAGCTGGCAGCAAACTGATGGAGTAGACGGCGAGAAGCCTGGCGGCAATCCCAAGGGTCATGTTTGGGAAGAGGAGGGAGAGGGAGAGGTGGAGTGGAGGAGGGCGACAAGGGCTGCAGAGAGCATGGCAGTGTCGATCCTGAGGGAGAGAGAGGCAGGAAAGGGGACTCCAGCACCTCCAGCTCCAGTACCCCTAGAACCAGCACCTCCAGTGCCAGTACCTCCAGCCCCGGCACCCCCAGCTCCAGCACCTCCAGCTCAAGCACCCCCAGAGCCAGCACCTCCAGCACCATTACCTCCGGTGTCAGCACCCCTAGAGTCGACTGCGACCTGAAGCGATAGTACCGAAGGCTGCAGCGGTGACTGTGAGGATGACTGTGGTGAAGGAGACGACACCGGACGTGCTACCGAGGGAAGAGAGGTAGCGTGAGACACACCTGACGGGGCAGGACCTGGGTGCGGTGCACGTAACGGAGGAGCACAGTACTAGGAGGAGGAGTGGGAGTGAGGAAGAGGGGAGGGGGAAGGGTCAGGAGAGAAGGGTGGGGATAACGGGTGTAGAAGGACACGGACTCGTCAAAAGTGATGTCACGGGAGTCAGTGTCAACGTGAAGTTAGGGGCATCAACCGGGAGTGGGATCACGAACATGCGCAATGGAGCCCTAGACACGGAACTCCGACGCAACACCAGGGGAACCAGTCTAGAGGCCGGTCGGTGAAACCTCCTGGCAAGAAACACGCGGCCAGAGGTTCAGCTGATGGGTGGCGCATCGAACCGCGTAGGGCCATAGAAAATGGGGCGCACAGGCATGGACCATGGAGTTGCAGGCGATTATTATGACCAAGCCTATGCGGCGCTCAGCAACCCCATTATGTTGTGGTGAGTCCGGAAGTGTCCAAAACTGGTTGATGCCCTGGTCGCGACAAAACCCAGCAAGCACGCAATAGCGAAACTCACACAAACAGTCGGAGTGGAGGCAAAGGACAGGGAGACGATGTTGGACATGAGCCTCTGAGAACAGGATCATGTTTTGAATTGCTGACCATCGGTCTTTTTGCGCCATTTTTGCGCCTTCGTACATGCGCAGAGAAGTTGGGGGCAGAAGGGGATATCTAGTCTGGCAAATAGAATTGGCAACTACAGGATCATGGCATTAGTCACGTCGGACTTCTGCCGCAAGGGGAACACCGTGGTGTAGCAAGAGAAGTTGTCAACCACCACCAGGAAGAAGCGCTCCTGCTCCAACCTAGTGACTCGGGCGGGGCCCCAGACGACCAGGTGCAAAATTCTGGAGTGGCGCGGTGGCTGGCGCAAAGAGGAGGAGTAAGGGGTGGCGCGCAACCTACCCTCGACACAAGGAGTGCACGGCGGTGCAGGTGATGGAAGGAGCGTCGGAAGTAAGGACGAGAGACCTGAGTCAAGACTGTGCCTAAACATGTTAAGGAGTCGGAGAAGTGAAGGATGACCAAGACGGTGGTGCCATAGGTCTGACAGGTTGGTGAATGACCAACAGGAGCACAACGCAGCAACCTGACCAGACGCAACTACTTGGGGAGACGTAGTCAGTAGTGAGAAGAGACCAGAGCGGGGCTCTCGGGAAAACGTGGTAAGACATGACCCGATAGCAACGTCCGTACATGTCGCAAACCTCGCATGTGCAGGGAAAGTGTCTGTGACCCCAATGGTCCTGAAGGTTTCCAATACCCTCCAATTTCCTCGAGAATAAAGGGATGTGAAGGCCAGTGAGGGAGCCAGAAGGGACAGCCGGGCACATGAGGGTGGTAATGAAGGAATACTATGGAGAGAGCGTAGCGGTAGCGAGAGAGTTTCTGCTATGTGAATGGTGTTGCGCCAACAACTCGGTAGAGTTTTGGTAGTGTAAGTCTCAAATGACTAAGTGAGAAACCAAGTGGAGATTGGAATTCACTAGGAAAATATATTATATGAAACACACATGCAAACACAAACATATATAGGCAGGCGAGGGGTTTCACAATGTTGCGTGGCGCTGCGAGTAACCCAACCCTCACGAAAGTTCTGTGAGGGTGAGCGAACGCGCCCCGCCGAACTTCCATCCAACTCAGCAGCGAAGGTACTTCCGTACACGCCACTCCACCGAACTCAGCTTGGGAGTGGCGGGCCTCATAAGGAAGCACACCAAGACTCCAACGACTCTTCTTCCCAGCACCGACTCCAGCGTAGTCACTCGTAGTCACTCGTAGTTGCTCGTGACTGCCACCGAAATCTGCGTCGGTGCCGAGTAGTCTTTGTCGCTAGCTACCGACCTGCCAAGTCAACATTCATCGAGGGCCCTTGCTGTCGTAACACTCCCCTGCCATACTACAGGAAGGCCCTTAATAAGCACAGGGCATGCATACACACATACACACCAAAAAGGGACTCGACACACAAACGAAGCACTCTCAAAGTGCAATCACACACCGCACCAGCCATGGATAGGCCATCGCACCATCACCATCATGGAGTGCCTAGGTCTCACTCCCCTCGCTCGAGAGCCTCACCTGCCCCACAGGCTCAAAGCAACGGCTGAAGACGGGGAAAAGCAACGCCTTTGTAAGGTAGTCAGCAGGTTGCTCACTCGTAGGGATGTACTGCAGCTGCAGCTTCCTACGCTTTACCATGTGCTGCAGCCACATGTGGCGACGCTCCATGTGCTTGAGGCTCCCCTTGAGCCCCATGCCACCTGCCACTGTAATGGCGGAGGATTTATCTAGAAAGAGAGTAGTGGGCTCCTCACTCTTCAGCAGTTGAAATTCTGCTAGCAGGAAGTGTAGCCTGCGCGTCTCCTTCCCAGCCTATACAGCAGCAACGTACTCAGACTCAGTGAAGGAGAGGGTGGCGCAATGAATCCTCTGGCTCGCCCAGGAGACAGCGGCACCGCCGAGCACGAAGACATAGCCACCTGTGCTGGTCCTGTTCTGCTTGTCTCCTGCATCATCAGCATCGGCGTAGCCCACCAGCTCCAAGGACTCCGGCCCACTACCAAACTCCAGCGCCACATCCCTGCTCCCCACCAAGTACGCCAAGCACCGGTCCAACTCCTTCCAGTGCTGATCGCTCCGCACATTCTGGCCCGACCCCAGCTTGCTGCAAGCGAAAGAGATGTCAGGACAGGTGGTACAAGCCGCGAACTGCAAGGATCCCACCTTCTGCCTGTACTCCTCCTCCTGTTGAGACTACCATCCCACATCCGCGAAGGTCTGCACAATGAGAGTGCTTCGAGGAGCTCGCTGCGGCTGCTCCTCGTCAAAGAAGTGCCTATGGACCTTGTCCATATAGGCCCCCTGGTGCAGCCACAGCCTCCTTGTAGGCCTGTCCCGAATCAGCTGCAAGCCCAGATACTTCTCCACAGGGCTAATCTCTCGCAGCTGAAAGGCACTCTGCAGCAGGTCACGCAGCTCCCCCAGCATGCTCTGACTGCGGCTGGCAGCAAGCAAGTCATCCACATACACCACCAGCCAGCACATCTCCCCCTTAGCATCACTCTTGAAGTACAGAGCCTCATCCACCTGGCTCTTCTTCCATCCAGCCCCAAGCAGCACCCCATCCAAGGCCTCATACCATAGCATCGGGCTCTTCTTGAGCCCATACATACTCTTCACCAACTTAAAGACAAGAGGAGTCCCATCCTCGTAGTAGATCGGCTGCTCCATGTAAAGGTCTCGGTCCAGCACGCCATGGAGGAACGCGTTCTTCACATCCAGCTACATCAGGTCCAAATCAAGCCCAGCTACAATCGCCAGAAGCACACGCGCCGTCACATAGCTTCGCAAATGGGCGTACGTCTCCTCATAGTCCACCCCTTACCACCTGCGTGAACCCCTTCACCACTAGCCTCGCCTTCTCACGCTCCACTATTCCATCCAGTCGGAACTTGGTGTTCAAAATCCAGCGGCTCTTCATCACATTCACCCCTGGAGGACGCGGAACCAGCTCCCACGTCCCCTGCTCAATCAATCTCTGCATCTCCTCCTCCATTGCCTCCTTCACCTTGTCACCCTTCCAGCAGCCCAAGGCCTCCTTCACTGTCATCTTAGCTACATCCCACTGCCTCTCAGGGTCGGCCACCACATCTGGGTCCAGGTCCGTCCACTCCTCGTCATCCAAACCCGCCGGTTCAATCACTACTGCCCAAGCATACTTAATTGGCAGGACACCACAAGTGATGCGAGTGGAGCGACGCAGCGGCGGTGCAGTGAACGTCCCAGAAACCAACGCACGACCACCATCTCTAAATCCCCACATCTCCTGCTCCCCTGTCTACGGCTCCCCTGTTTGCTGCTCCCCAATCTGCTCCTCCCCTCTCTGCTGCTCCCCAATCTGCTGCTCCCCTGTCTGCTGCTCCCCTGTCTCCTGCCCCCCACTCTGCTGCACTCCATCCATGCTGCTCTCGTACTGCAGCTGCTCAGTCACAACGCGCTGCCCGTCGGTGATCATCACAGACGGCAACACCATTGTCCCCCCCTCACCAACGGGCGGCGCCGTGGAAGACGAAGAGGAGGGTGGGGCAGGTGCAGGAAGGATGGAGAGTGGAAGAGGAGAGGGAATAACAGGAGGAGGAGGGGTAGCCAAGGGGGTGAGGATGGAG